AGGACTTCTAATTCACTCAAAATCGCCTCACTATTTAGTTTTATTTTTTTCTTCCGCTTGTGCTGTTAGGCGTCACGGTGAGAGACAGTCGTCTGTCAGCGACAAGGCGAGTGGCTTGCAGGAGCGATATTTCGTGGAATGTGTCTGCCACTGAGTCGCTCCAGCGTCTTCTCGGACTGCTTCTCGCTCTCCAGCCAGAGTTCCTAAGGGTATATACTCGTAGAGCTGGTTGGTTGATAGGCATACGAGTGAGTTGTCCGAACCACTTGCTCCTTTGTCGTTCAATGTGTTGTATGATTGGTATTGCTCCTACCATATCTCTTATTGCCTCATTCCTGATTTTGTCTCGTCTGGTCTTGTTCACTGCTTTCCTCAGACATTTCATCTCACAAGTGATCGGTTTCCTCTCAAGGGTTTTTATTAGGGGCCACGTCTGGCACTGGTATGTCAACGTTGATAGAAAAATGGCTTTGATGAGATTTGCATTGGTGCTCATGGAAATGCTAGGATGTTTTAGAAGAGGAGCAAGTTGGTAACTGACTGCGTTGGCTTTCTGCCATCTGGTCTCGATTTCTCTGTCTTGTTTGCCGTTTTTAGTAAATATGCTTCCCAGATATTTGAATTCACTGGTTTGCTTTACATGGGTCCCATTAATGTTAATGTCCAGTTTTTCTGATTTCTTGCTGACAGTCGTCTCACTGTATATGTTGAATAAGTCCGGTGAGAAGACACATCCTTGTCTTATACCCCTTTTGGTTTTTGTATATTTACGGAATTCATTTTCTATCCGTATGCAAACGGTTTGCTGCCAGTTTAACTTCCAGATTATTCTAATATCCGTTAAAAATACCTTGAAAAAATTAACACGCGGTTCCAACATTTCTTTGGGAAGTATAGAATAACTCAAGAAAGAAATCTGGAACTCCATCTGTTCTATCCCAAGCGCCCCATTCACCTGAACTTGCACCAACCAATTATTACCAATCCCTGCAAAATGCTTGGACAGGGTAAATGTTCTCTAATGGAAAACTGATTCAAGAGTTTGTCCAATGCGTTTTGTTTTTTTTTACCAGAATCAGAATCAACAATTAAATGGGTATGTAAAAATTAAAACAACATCCGCCATTTGTAACCTTGGATTACCTTTAGTGTTTAAAACCGCGAACTTTGATGCTTCAATTTATAGCATTAATCTTATATGAAATTGAATGCAATTTTTTTTTCTGTTTCTACGCAACAAACTACATAAGAATCAAAAATAAAATGGGTATGTAAAAATTGAAACGAAATCCGCCATTTTGAGCGTTTTCTTACCGTTAATGCTTAAAACCGCGAAGTTGGATTCTTCCATTTATGTCATTAAACTTACACGAAATTTACTGTAATTGATTTTTTTCTGTTTCTACGCATCAAACTAGATAAGAATTAGTAGAAGCTACAGAATTTTACTTAAAAGTTATGGAGAAGCTGCCTCATAAGTGGTAACAAGTCCTTGCAAATCACAGCAAATATATAATTGAATAAAATATATTTGTACTTAATTTTCTAAAGAAATAAAGTTAATAGACGAAAACGGAAATTATTTATGGCGATTTTCTAAGCGTAGCTTAGATGTGGCACAAGGCCAAAAGTATACGGCTCCCAGTGAGCATCGAACTCATTATCTCGTCGTAATTGATCTAGTAAGACAAACATCCCGTCCGTGGAACTCCCTTCCTCTTACTTGCTTCCCTGATAACTATAATCTTCAATTATTCAAATGCAATGTCAATCGACATCAGATGTCTTGCTGTAATTCCCTGTCCTTCTCTTCATCGTTTTCCTCTATCACGCCTCTTTACTCTTGCTCCCACTCTCCGTAACCCCTTGTGTGCTAGTGGCACCCCCACCTTGCTTGGGGTGAAATGCTTAGAAAAAGAAAGTTACACCACACCGAAATACCATAAATGATATTGTAAGCGTAACTTAGATGTGAAAGAAGGCCGAATCTCTGGAGGCCACCAATGGAGTTCGAACTCACTATTCAGTCGTAATTGATATAGCGAGACAAGCTTGCTAACAATTACATCACGTCGAGGTGACCTAAATGATTTCTAAAGTTAGATGTGGCACAAGATCGAAAGTATGGGACCCCCAGTGAGGATCAAACTAGCTATACAGTCGTAATCATGCGAGACAAGGTTGCTAATCATTTATCATTTAATACAGAACGACGAAATGCTCAAACGAAAATTATTAGGTACCTCCACTAATTCACTGAAAAAACAGTACAGTATGATGAAAAAAGATCCCAAACTTAATAAAAACCAAGTTTTATCGTCAAAATGGTTATGTTAAGAGGAAAGACCAAAGTATTTTTATTATTTTATTCAATTTTTAAAACCTTTCTAGCACGTTCGAAATTTTGGTTAAAAATGTTGTTTTGTTTTTTGTTTTTTTTCGTCAGCGGTTGGCCTAATATTTACTCATAGTGGCTTTAGAGCCTTTTTTTCTTCAGGTAAAAACACATTCATTTGAAAATTTTTGCAAAAAAATCAAATCTTCGGATTTTAATGGAACTTTTAGGATATATTCACAAATAAATCAGATTATTTATTAATTTGTTTTTGCTTAGAATTTTTTTTTACATCTTACCCACACTTACTTAATTTCTTGAAATTAAGAGAAATTAAATTTTATTTGTAAAATTGGTTTTATTAAAAGGAAGACTCCTTGGAAAATGAAAAACATCGATTTTGTTTCAAACTGCAACTCATTTCCCAAATAATTTGCTGTGAATCGTAAAATAAAAAATGCAATAAAACTATGAGATTATTTAATTACAAAAGCTTCTTTTATAAATAAGATTTAAGAACACTATTGCCTTAAGAAAAAAAATCGATAAATAATGAATTTTTACAAGAATTGTTTTTCATATTTTTTCAATTTTAATTATAATAATTTATTATAATAATTTATATATAAATCTTTTAAAATTCTGCATTATCTTAATTGCGTTAAGTGATATATTGTTATTAAGTGAAAACTATGTTAACTAATCAAAAACTGAAAGGCTTCATACAAACCATTACGCACCAAGATTTTAAAATATAATTTTTATTTCTTTTTTTCTAATGTATAAAATGCCCATTTTGAAAGTATCGGCGACTATACACAATATTATCAGAAAATATGAACGATGACTATAAAAATTATATAAAAAGATGCTCCTTCGTCATTTTTGAAAATTGTGTTTTAACAGATAAAGTCTGTGCAAAACAACAATAAATTGTCAACACTTTTAACAGCATTTGTCAACGCTGGTCAGTTACATATACAGTTACGTATATTGTCGGCTAAAAATTAAACTAGTGGCTTCGATCCGATTTGGGGCCATGCCCCACTTTGGTATTTCTAAAATTATGGTGCCCCCCCACTGTAATATTTAATTCTTACATGTATGTCAATTACATATGTACCTACATACACACAAAATATTTTTATGTACGCATATTGTATATGCATCATATGTATTAACATACATTAACATTAACACACTCACTCAGACTCAATAAAAAAGAATTCACTGTTAATAACTTATTCTCGAATTGCCCCACTCACTTATGATGATAGTATAGTAAGCCGAAGGGTGCACATCTTACGCATGTCCCACCAAAATATTACTATGCCCTACCGAGGCACGTTGGGAATGATTGTTTTAAACTAAAATAAATAATATTTATTTTTTAATCAAACTAATTATACTTTAAATCAGCTAATATTCCGCTAATAAAATTTCAGAAAAGTATATTTTATTTTTGGAACATATTTTAAAGAAAGAGATTTACATTGCGATGAAAGGCGACTAAAAAGGGCGCTAAGCAGATATTAAAAAAAAAACGAAAAAAAAAAAACTCCTTCCAGTCAACTTTAAATTAGTTTTTGAAATAGAGCAACGTATTTTGGTTATTAGAAATAATAAATTTTATCTGTTAGCTAAAATAAAAGCCTCAAGAAAGTTTTTTTTTTTTAAATTAATTTTAAACCTTAGGTATCTTTTTTCTGATATATATATATATATATATATATATATATATATATATATATATATATATAGATAGATAGATAGATAGATAGATAGATAACTAGACTCGTTTCGAAAAAACCCTCGAATTTTTATGTGCTAATCAAATCAATCTCGAGGAAAAAAAGGTTTTAAAAAAAGAAAGAGCTACAAACATGAACTTCTGCCGACAAAAAAAATCGCACAGATGCAGGTCTGAAGCCCAAAGAAAAAAACCCGATACGAGTAACAACTAACTAACAAAAGAGCTCAATACAACCGTAGAGCAGACATATATATATATATATATATATATATATATATTGAGAAAACTATAGAATTTCTATGTCTACATTTCTGAGATGAGGTATTATGTACACTATTTACATTATTCGGACTATATTCCTCATCTTTGTCACCATATTTATCACAACGTTTCGGCCGTTGTACACTCCGGCCTTCTTCAGGTGGTTGGAATGTCGAAGGAATGTTGAGGATATCTGTGTATGAATTTCTGGGTACTATAAACTTAGTGTCTTCAGCCACCATTTTTTACCAGTGCTCATATAGCAATTTTTGCGTTAGTTAGATCCAGTAACAGGACCCAAAGAGTGTGAGTTCAATACCCGGTTAAGGTAGAGGAGAACTTGGAAAGGGGAATTAACAGGAGATAACTGACAACTGGCATCCATTAAAAACATGGCACATGGAACTAGAGCAGTCTACCCCAGTGAGCGAAAGAAAGGGTTCAGTTCGATATTCCGACTACCTGAAGAAGGCCGGAGCGTACAACGGCCGAAACATCGTAATAAATAAGGCGACAAAGATGAGGACAATACTCCGAATAATGTAAATAGTGTCCAATTTCTTAATCTGTCGTGAGTAACCCTACTGCTGACCGATTCTAAGAATTATATCATTATTTTTCTCTTTGTTTTTCTTTCTTTTTCAAATGAAGAATCAAATATTGCGGAATTTTGCAACCGAGAGAACCGTCGCGGCAAGTCGGTGTTTCTCGCTAACAGGAAATACCCAGAATCCATTCGTGGGGGCAAACATGATTGTCAGTGTGTCGTGGAGACCGGTTTCGGTGGGGGTATAGGCCTCCATGCCATTGACATCATGATTACGCACAGTGATTACGGCGGTCGACCATGTCAACAGAGGTTAGACATTGAAGACAGCAATGGTACCAAAAAAAGCATCAGTTGTGGCGCTCAGGATCTCTACGGGTTCCGTTCGATTTACCAAAAACCAGTTCGCAATGTTTCACTCACCCTACGTAGTACGTCGCCTGAATCGCATGGATTTATCTGGCTTCAAGCAAAACGTAAGTAAATCATTTATAGACATTTTTTTTTTTAAAAAAATAACTCCGTACATGACCCATTAAGAAAATCGATTTTCGATGAATGGTTTAAAATCGAGCCATCAATTTTGATCATTATCGACAAGTTCCCCGGCTTTGTTGTATCTGTTAAACATGAAAGATTTTTTTTCAGTCTCTTATTCCTTCCGGATTCAGATAATAAAGATACGCTGAGGATTGGAAAAGTTAATCTGATGCAATTTACAGATGAAAATTTGGAGGAAGTTACAGACGATTATCCAAAGGAAGCGATGTATTTCCAGACAAGTTGTTGTGGGAAGCAGAAAAAGACAAACGCATTTTTTAAATCAATTCACACAAAGGCACGGTTTTAATTCCGCTAAAAAACAAAGGGAGACTGTGAGTGAAAGAGAATGAAAATATTTTAGAAGGAACCGGAAATCCAATCCTAAACAGAACACAAGGGCTATACCTCTACTAGTAGCTTTATGTAGGGTAAAACTTAAACATTGAATTATAGCTGGTTTTAATGAAGAATTGTCTTACATTAGAACACTTCCTTGGGTTCAGATGGTGGGATGAACAAATTTGAGAACTTTACATGAAATGGTTTGAACATATAAAACGACTAATGGAAAGAAACGTTTTCCGATGTTTTATAAATATAAAATTTCCAATTTTTTTATAAATCTATGCATGATAATAAGTGGTCGTAGATAGAATAATTCAGCTTGTTCCTTAATTAGTTAGCTAACATGTACGTTACGCCCTGCCATTACCTCAGATAAATAATGAACTATTCCGTTTTGATTGCGAGGAAAGACGGAAGAAAAAGATTTGTTAGAGACGCTGTTTGGCTTTAGCGAGAAAAAGAAAGAAAGGAAGGAAGGAAGGAAGAAGAGAGGAGGCAATAACTCATTCATACGTTTAACGTCTGCTTCAGTGAAATTAAAACCGTGTCAATTTTTAATCTTTTCATTTTTACCATCTTACGTCTTTAAATGCTAACCTGAATTAAGTATCTGTCTATATTTCTGAGATGTGATATTATGTACACTATTTACATTATTCGGAGTATTGTCCTCATCTTTGTCGCCATGGTTATCACAACGTTTCGGCCGTTGTACGCTCCGACCCTCTTCAGGTCGTTGGAATGTCGAATTGAACCCTTTATTTCGCTCACTGGGGTAGACTGTTCTAGTTCTACGTGCCATGTTTAATGGATGTCAGTTATCTCCTGATAATTCCTCTCTCCAAGTTCTCCATCGCCTTAACCAGGTATTGATCTCACACTCTTTGCACAGTGGATAAAGGCGTTAGTTAGATCCAGTAACAGGACCCAAAGTGTGTGAGTTCAATACCTGGTTAAGGCGGTGGGAACTTTGAGAGGGGTATTAACAGAAGATAACTGACATTCATTAGACATGACACGTGGAACTAGAACAGTCTACCCCAGTGAGCGAAATAAAGGGTTCATTCGACATTCCAACCACTTGAAGAAGGCCAGATTTTATAACGGCCAAAACGTTGTGATAAACATGGCGACAAAGATGAGGACAATAGTCCGAATAATGTAAATAGTGTTACCTGATTTCATATTTATGATTGTAACCGCGATATTTTGTAAAGGTTTTTAAATGACAAATATTTAACGAAAAGATATGCGAATTTCCTCAGGTATTTGAAAGTCGGCGAACTTGTAAGAAGTTTATTCAGTCGTTAACTTAAGAATAATTAACCATCAAGTAGAAAACAGTGAAATTTTCGCGGGTATTTCTAATTAAAATAAATGCCTGTTTTTTTTTTTTTTTGTTTTTTTTTTTAAACTAGCTCTTCGGGAAGACGATTACGTAATCATCCGTTGTCGTGGAGACCGGGAAGAGAAGGTTTCCATCAAGGACGAATATTCTGTCTTACCCAGTTCACAGAAACCAAACTTAACACCCCACAGTTCGGCTGAATTCTTCTCAAGTACTTCATCTCCCGCCAAGGACAGAGAATTTGCCAACAAGAGGAATGAGGACGAAGAAAGGAAAAAAGAAAAGCAGTTTATGAATATGGGTGAGCGAGTTTAATCTTTCTTATAATACATAGAAATCTCATATATTTACATTTGAGCTGGCGAGATGTAAGTTCTGTGCAAGCAGTTTCTTTTCTCACACTTCGCACTTGTAGAACTCCCTTCCAGCTCTATGCTTTCCAACCAACTTTATTCTGCTAAAATTTAAATGCAACGTCAATCGCTATCTACTGTCCTCCTGATTACTCTTTCCTCTTCCCGCTCATTATTAATGTTAATGTTCCTAATTCTTCCACACTGAGTAAACCCTTGTGTCTTAGTGGCTTTATTGCCTTACTTGTGGAACTCCCTTCCGCCTCCAAGCTTTCCAACAAACTTTAATCTGCAAAAATTTAAATGAAACGTCAATCGCTATCTAATGTCCTCCTGATTACTCTTTCCTCTTCCCATTCATTATTAATGTTTCTCTTCCTAATTCTTCCACATCCCGTAAACCCTTGCGTCTTAGTGGCTTTACCGCCTTACTTGTGGGTGACACTGATTTAAAAAAGTAAGTACTTCGACTATAATAATAAAAATCTTTTATTAATTCCTCCTTTCTAAAGAGGATCAAATCAAATACTGGGTTCACCGAGTAATTAAATATTAACTGGTTGAAATTTGATCCTATTTTCCTTCTCATTTTGAAGCTGAAACAACACTTCGCTGGATTTAGTTTGCCAATTTGGCTTTAAATTCTTCTGCCGTATATCCATTTGACGAATATTGGTCTTTACAAAAAAAATGGAGTTTTCTTTTTATTCCCTGTCTTGAATTTAATATTAAATGAAGAATTATCAGTTATTATTAAGTTCTTCATTATTTATACTATCCAGATTGTTCGGACTGTTGTCCTCATATTTACTGTCATATTCACGACGTTTCGATCGTTGTACGCTCCGGTTTTCTTCATGTTAAAATTTCGAACTAAACCCTTTATTTAATCCACGTGGGTAAATTGTTCTAGTTCCACATGCCATGCCTTTTCTAGATATCTCAGTTTCAGTTATTTCCCTTTAATAACTCAACTCTCCCAAGTTTTTGTTCACCTCTGCTGTGGCCAGGTATTTTATCTCGTCAACCGGGGTAAATTGTTCTAGTACTAGGAATAAACAAAGAAGTGGGACTTACTCTTCTGAGGAATGGTGTTGATTAGAGTTCTCCTTGTGGAAGTTATACTCTCTGGGTGAGCCTATAATCATTACTTACTTTCATTTAAAAAATATCGTAGATATTCAAATACATCTGTGAAAATGTGATACATTCTGCTGAATTGGTTTCCTTTTATAATTGATAAGTCATTCTGTTTTATGTAATATTCGCTAAAAGACCTGTTTTGGTGGCCTTTTATCAAAGCCAAGTACCTTCCTATCTAAAAGATTTATATTATGATTATATAAAAACTAGTAATTACCCCGATGTTAATTATTATTAAAACGATTATTATTAATCATTATTAACATACGAGGAAATATTTGAAAGTTCACAGATGTACGTGCCCTGCTTGCACCAATCAACGGTAAATGCCCACGCAGTCAAAACTTATTGGTTGATTGATTAACTGACTGATCGTCTGTTTAATGGCATATCGACTCATTACGGGTCATTTAATGATGAAATTTAATTTTGTTGGGTGCTTGGAAGTAATAAAAATGTATGTTATTGCGCTTTCACAGTTGAATACATGGTAGATGATACTCTGCTTTTGGCATATACATGTTTGTGTAGCCGTCCTGGGTATGACTATAAGCTACAACCGCGTCCAGGGTAAGACGATAAACTACGCCCAACAGCAAGGACTCTGATCAGGAGGTTTCGAGGAGCGTGGAACCACCTCTTAATTGCTGTTGTTCTCAGTTCCACCCTGACCCGGGGTGGTAGCACTTGTTAGGGTCCCAACTATGGGCAAATAGTTACCCCCCCCACAAAAAAAAGCTGGGGTCAAAACACTATGTAAATATAAAATTGGTTTTAATACCAGAAATACTTTGTAAAAAATATTTATTACCAGTAATACATTTTTGAAAAAAAAAAAAAGTTATTACCAGCGATACATTTTTGAAGAAAAAATATTTCCAGAAATAAAAACTTTGTCAGTATTAAATAACCCGTTGAGGTTGATATGCCGTAAAACAAAGCAAAGCAAAGCAAACCAAACATATTTGTGTGGACATAATTACAAGAGCCGGTGATATGTGTTTTATGTCGTGGCTCTGTTGAAGTTGTATTTTGGAAATACAGTTTTTACTTAAGAAATTGTAGAATATTATATAGCTTAATGTCATGGACGTTATTTTATGTCTTTCTTTTTTTTTTTTTGTATTTTAAGCGGATTTGGGGGAAGTCGCTACAATTTCTTAGTATGTACGTATTGTTGGTCATTTTAGTATATGTAATGATGGCTGAGTGTCAGGACAGGATGAAGAGCGTCTTGGGAGACCAGTTAGTAGCAAAACACCAGGAAATACGGGAAAAATTATGACCTCGTTCATGATAACTTACGCTAAACAAATCTATCAATCCTTTGACTGGAATTACTTGTCAAATCTTTCCGGTGATCCTCTCGGAAATCTAAAATGAAAGGTTTTCTCCGATGAATTTAAAGCTGGTATTGCAATGTACAATTCCAAAGGGAATAATTCAAAAGAGATAGTATATTAAATATATTTTACGCTAGCAGCATGGCCCGGCGATACCCGTACTTGATTCAAAAATCGTACGACTCATACAGCAATCGCTATCACGTGACTTAAAATATTTTTGCCCTTCCTTGCCTTTAAAGGAGTGCCCTTTGCCGTGCTGATATTGCTACATGCCTTACTTTTTGCCTATTTCACACTGCGAATTTTTTCTAAGCTCTATACTAAACATTAAATCTGTTACGAAAAAAGAACTAAACAAAATGAACACAAAACGATCAGCTTTTAAAAAAAGGACTCGTAACTGGAAAAACCGAATAAAAAAAGAATGTTAACAACAAATACTTTTTCACACCCGACCCAGTTTTTCGGAATCAGAATCAACGTTGAGTTTAAGCAAGCGAATGAGCCAATTGGAGTAAAGTGCCATGCAGATTTAAATTTTTCCCACTTGTGACGAATGCAGCTATCGATTTTTTTGCATGCTAGCATGTTAGTTAACATTCGTGTCAGTCAGCTGTTGGCTCTCACGCTAGCCAATAGAATCTTCATGCCTATTCGTGGCAGCCAGTTATAGGCTCTCACTCCAACCAGTAGAAAATGGCCGCAAACTACGTGAAAACTGCCGTAGAAGCATGAAAAAATCGATTATTTCCACTATCGATGGGAGTTGGGAAATGCAAAGTCGGTGTTGGCCTTCCCGCTAACTTGGAGCATGTGCATGTAAATTTTGGTACAAATCCGTCGAAAATTGCGGCCGTGCATTCGTTACACACAAACACGCACACACACACACATCCTGCCTTTTATAGATAGAGATTTATGGGCCTGTGAATGAATGGCCATGAGACACGGGTTCTAATTTCACCATATTCGAGTCGTCAAAGAGGTGACATTGATAATATCTTCCACTGTGTGTGGCTTCATTCAGGAATTGCCTGAAAGCCACACCACGGATTGAAGCAATCCTTGTGAGTGAAATTAGATAAACGGGACGGTTTGGAAGTCGTCAATGATTGTGCTATTAAGTTCTTATAATTCCTCAAATATAAGATGGTTAGAAGCTCTTTAGAATTGTTTAACAATCTATCAAGAGATGGCGTTTTCAATAAAAGCACCCATCCCCCAGCAGCCTCACCACACGCGGTATGTATCGGCCAAAAATGCAATAACGGAAATTCTTCAAATAAAGAAAGAGGTCAAACGAGTTCACGATCCTCCGCAAACGGATATAATGTTGAATAATGATTTATTGTAATAATGGCGTACATTTTTAGGCCTACTCTAAGAACTTTTTCGATAACACCTTGGATTGTCATTAGTGTTCAGCATATGTCAAGTGTTCGTTTATGGTTATTCAATTTCCTGCTAAGAAAACTCAAGAGAACGATTCTGTAAATAGTGATTCATAGGCTAATTTTTTTTTTCAATTTATATTTAAGTAGTTAAAAATTACTGGAAACCTGTGGCTCTATTCTATTGAAAATCGCTCGGCTCTCCATGACTATTTTCGCAATAATACGCTAACAAAATGCGCTACGATGTACCGTTTTATGTGTTAGGCAACAAGCGGACAAACAACTAAAAGATACAGCCAAAAATAGGACAGCATTTATCGAACAATCCTTTCTGTGATTATTTTACAATCATTAGCCAGGCAAGGTCTAATTTTTCCATGAGTAATGGAGTTTAAGTCGTGTTCTACAAGCGGTAGAGTCATCAGTATCTGTCTATATTTCTGAGATGAGGTATTATGTACACTATTTACATTATTCGGACTATTGTACCCATCTTTGTCGCCATATTTATAACAGTGCTAGGCCACAAAAATTTCCTGAGGTGACGAAGCATAGAAATGAATACAATATGGGAACCAGTAATAAGAGGTCTAGAGAAAAGCGATAATAACAACAAAAATGCAATATGAGCTCTGGTAAAAAAATACAATGGTAACAGCAAAAATTGCAATATGAGCACTGGTAAAAAAAATGATGCTGATGACATTAGGTTTATAATACCCGGAAATTCATGCACAGATCTCGTCAACGATACATGGTACAGTGGATAAAGGCGTTAGTTAGATCCAGTAACAGGACCCAAAGAGTGTGAGTTCAATACCCGGTTAAGGCAGTGGAGAACTTGGAGAGGTGAATTAACAGGAGATAACCGACATCCATTAAAACGTGGAACTAGAAGAGTCTATTCAAGCGAGCGAAATAAAGGGTTCAGTGGTTCCTTGTGGTTCATTTAATGCCGAAGTTTAATTTTCTTGGGAACAGTAGAAATCTCTCACAAAAATGTATTGCTGTCAATTTTTCTTTTAGAAAAGTGTATTGCTGGTAATAGCCTTGCAATAAAAATGT